GAAACTATGTAAAAAAAAATCCTTGTATATTATTACAACAATAATATACAGTGAGTTAAATTATAATCAACTTATATGGTGGAAAGTTGGGATTCAGATGAAGAGGAAGGATCCCAAGAGTCAGGAAAACAGAGTTAAAAGCAGATGTTAATTGCCATTCTTTTCAAGTCAATTTTTTGAAAAAAGAGTATTTAACCTTTCTTCCTCATAAATTCTTGATCCCAAGAACAAATCAAATGCTCTGTGATAATACATGCCAATGCATTTGACTGCACAGTTCCTAGTCATTGCTACAACAGATAACAGGGAAGAATAAGAAACGTTTTCCAAAAGCTTACCTAGTTTTCAAGTGGTCGAGATTGGAACAGCTTCGATGAGCCTAGAAAAGTAGAATTGGGTGGTGGTGAGTCCTCTCTTTCTGATTTTCCAACCGACCTTACGCAAAGCTCGTTCTACATCCGCCTCTGCGTGTAGATAAGCCCTTGTAGCCTTTGAAGGCCCCGGGAAAAGCTCTCCAATTCTCTTTAAGATATCATAGTAAAAAGTCTTTGGCGCAAAACTCAGAATCACTCTCTTCTCTGCCAAAGAAGCGAGATGTGCGATCATTCCATCTGCTTTGTTCTGAGGGTAATGTATCAGAACGTCAAGGCATACAACAGTGTCATATTTCCCACTTAAGCTCTCTAAATCATTCACTTCAAATCTTGGTAAGTTCCCTGATGGCAGTTGCTCCTTTGCCTGCACATATTCGAACATTTGTCCCAAATTAGTTAGTTCCTTAGCAACTCTATGTCAAAACATCTTATCTTGGTTCTGCAATTATAAGAATCTAGCACTCAATTGGCTAATCGGTAGTTGCATTTTGAAAATGGCCAAATCCAAGGATTAGAGCGAGTGTGAGAACTCACCTTCATCTCAGCTTCAGCAACCATAGCTGCAGAGATATCGCTTGCAGAGACGATAGCACCTTCTTTAGCAAGAGGAATCGAGAGAGATCCGGTTCCGCATCCGGCGTCGCAGACAGTGACTCCGACCAAAGATCCTTCATCTTTAAGCATAAGCATTGCATTCTCCACCGTCTTGGCATGGCCGAGTCTTATATCCTTCTGAACGCGGTTGACTTCTTCGGTCTCGCCGTAGATCTTCCTCCACCTCTCGAAACCCGTGCTGTTGAAATACTCTCTCACGACTTCTTTGTCGCCTCCGCCGACTTCCTCCGCCTGCAATCGCCGTCTCCTCTCAGGATCCGTCAAGGAAACCACCGCTGCGAGGGCTGCTACGGAGCCGCCTCCGAAGACGGCGAGAGTTGTACTGTCGACGCTGGCTAGGTCGGAGACGGAGGCCGCGACGACGACGAAGGAGGCTCTGATTCGTGAAGAGACATTGAGCCTAGAAGAGTCTGGGAATCTGGGAAGGAATTGAGAGACGGAAGAAGATGATGACAACAAGGAAGGAGCAAACGGCATTGTGGAAGTTTGGCTACTCTGTTTCGCTGAGTTGAGTATTATCGTTATCCTTGCAAAGGGGAAGGGGATAGGATAGGAGGACGATCCATCTTTCGATTTCCATGGGGCCCACCATTATGCGGGTTACTCACAGACATGTTTCTATATCACTGCTAGTGCCCATCATTTTGTTTATTTCGGTAAATGGACTTGGCCTTTTTGTGTGTGTAAATGAACATGGCTTTATTTGAAAATGGGGTAATACCATGTTTAAAAATGGGTTCTATTTGATCGAAATTGGGAAAATTGAAAATAAAAGATGTTTTTTTTTTTAAATTTGTCCATCCATATCTTTATTATTTAAGTTTGGTGATATATATTTTAATTTAGTTAAAATCTTATTATGCCCTTAATCATAAATATTAGATTTAATCATATTTTATGAAATAATTTACAATAATATTTATTGGCTCAATTGGTTGATGAGTTAGAAATTCTTGATAGATGTCTCAAGTTCGAGGCTTTTTATTTCTTTTGTTATAATTTTTTTTATTTAATCAATGAGAATATTTTGTTAAGATAAAATGAACCAAGCAGCAACCTCGTAAATCAAGAACTCTAGTTCGGTAATCAATCGTTAAGAAACTAACACAAATTGGTTTGTAATTTTGATTTATTCTCGAACCGTCAAGAAACCAACACAAATTGGTTTTCTGTTTGTTTAACAACATATTGTTGTTAATGAATTATAGAGTTTGAATGCAAATACCCATTCTTTTAATTCGAAACAATAATAACAATCTTTGATATTCTGAAAAACGCTGGGGTATATATTGAAGGAAAATTGATAATTTA